GGCCCGGCCCCACCGGCCCAGCACCGCCGCCGCTCCCGCGCCCACTTCCGCTTCCGGTGCCGCCCCTCTCCTCTTCTCTCCTCTCTTCCCCAGCCCTCACCGCGCAGGCCAGAGCGGCTCCGCCCCCGGGGGCGCTCTCGCCTCCCCTCTCGGTGCCCAAGGAGGTCGCGGTTAACCCCTGCCGCGCCGGGCCAGGCCGCGGGTTGGGGGGGGGGTCAGCCCTTACGAACGGGCCTGAGGCGCGGGGGAGCTGGGGTCTGCCTCGCCGCGGCCTTCCTCGTCACCGTGGCCTTCCTCCCCATCGCCATCCTCGCCCTCAACATGGCCTTCCTCCCTGTGGCCTGCCTTGGCCACGGCCTACCTCACTGTGGCCATCCTCACCCTCGGCGTGGCCTTCCTCTCCACGGCCTCCCTCACCGTGACCACCCTCACCGTGGCCATCCTCACCGTTGGGCCTTCCTCACCGTTGGGTCTTCCTCACCATAACCACCCTTGCCATGGCCTTCCTGACTGTTGGGTCTTCTTCACCATGGCCACCCTTGCCATGGCCTTCCTCACTGTTGGGTCTTCCTCACCATGGCCATCCTCTCCATGGCCTTCCTCACCATTGGGTCTTCCTCACCATGGCTATCCTCTCCATGGCCTTCCTTGCCACAGCTACACTTACCATGGCCATCCTCACCCCAGCCTTCTTCGCCAACAGTCTTCCTCACCATGATGATCTTCACTGTGACAATCATTGCAACGGCAACCCTCGCCTCGATGACCCTCGCCGCGGCCTGTACCGCTGTGGCCCAGGCACCTTCTCTCCCCACAGGCTCTGCCGACAATCTCCTTCTACCAAATGTTGCTGAGAGCTGCTGTTGTCCCCATGGGGACCTGCCCTCGGGGTTGGAGATGGGTCATGGCCGGGGGGGGGGATCTGGTGGAAGAGGTTCCGTGTCCAGTTAATCTGCCTGGAGAGGGCCTCAATCCTGCTTATTTACTGATTAGCACCACGCAGAGGTTACGTGAATGGGGCTTTGCTCCCTCCTGCCCCATGAGTAGGTGACCATCCCCTCCCACCCAGGCCACCTCTCTGGAGGACATTTCTGGCTCCCAAAGCCGGACCATGGGTGCTGCCGGCCCACAGCACGGCTGAGCAAAGAACACCAGGGTAGGAAAGGGCTTCAATTAATCCACACGTGCAATCACGCTTGACCTCTTTATTTATTTATCAAACCACTCATTTGGGCCAACAATTAATTAAAAATGCCGATGAACACCTTTAGCACTGGCGCAAGGAGAGTTGGGACGATATCGGCTAGCCCTTGCGGTTCTTCTCACCGAGGAGCAGAGCGGGGTGTGTGCCAGCCTGTGGGGATGGGGAAGGGTCTGGTGATGGTCTTCACTGCTGTGGGACTGGTGGAAAGGGTGGACTGGTGATGGTGGGCTAGAAGGGGCAATAGATACCACCACCGTGGTGGCCCCCCAAGACCTCACCTCTCCAAGGCTCGGAGATCGATCCCCCTTCGCTCACTCCTGTGAGCAGCTGAGTCCCGGGCGAGCCCTGCCCGTGGGCTGTGGGCAAGATCAGGATCTGAGGGCATTGGGCTGGATCCAGTGCCACCGCGCCGATTCCAGCTGTCCCTGACTGCACATCTCCCTCCAGTGCAGCAGCCCGGCCCCAGGGGCGCGGGGACCCACCTGCACGCGACCCAGTGGGGAGCTGCGGGTGTAGATGCGAGCCTGTGACAGAAGCAGCGTGGGACATAGCTGGTGGCCTTCAAGCAGAGCTAGTAAACCCCATTACCCCAAGAAGAGCAATCCCACCCCAGCAACCTCCTGTGGGCAACAAGAAATAGCTCCTCTGGGCTTGCCTGTACCCCTCCCGCAAGTGGGGGCTAAGACTCCCCGGTTGCAGGAGAGGCTCCTGAGCATGGGTGATCCAGGCCACCTTCTTAGCCATGGTCCCCTCTGTCCTGCTCACCTGCATGACGGTGAACTCCAAGGACAGCTCTTGCTGCTGGATGTCCCCAGCGGGGAGGTTGAAGAGGAAGGGCATGTTCCAGACAGGGTTGTAGCCAGTGATGGACTTGGTCTCCTTGGTGTCAATGATGTGGCCATTGTGGTAAAGGTGGATGATGATGTAGTGGCCTGGAAATGGAGACAGAGCCTTGGTGAGAGGGGCCTGCTCTGGACACACACCATGCGGGAAGGCTGGAGGTTTGCACACCAGACTCCTGCACAGCATGGGCAGCCAAATTAGGGTGCCCGGGGGGCTACAGGACCTCCACAGGGCTCTGCGAAGCTGTGGGGAGAGGACAGAGAGGTCCTCTGCATCTTGGTTGCACCTACTCCTCCCTGGTCGGGAGCAAGGACCTCCAAAGTCTGCAGCCTGCATCCCTGCCCACGTCCCAGGCTTCGCATGAGCTGGGGGAGCCAGAGATGACAACAGCCAGCACGACAGAAAGCCACATGCTATTTTTGTACCATAAATGTGTATATTTTAAGCATTTTGGGGCCATATTGGAGATATCTAGATCCTAGCTGTGCTGCTTGCACTCATTTTGCTTAGGAAAGAGAAGTTCAAGAGGACATAAGACTATCTGCCACGCAAAAGGAGGAGAAGCCATTCCCTGTGTCCACCTGGGCATCCACTTGCCCCCTGGTCCATGCTCCATGCCCTACCTGGTGTTCCTGGCATGCAGGAGAGACGGCCCAGGTGCTCTGCCTTGCGGACCAGCACCTTGATGCGGCTGGCCAGAGCTTGGTACTGGAGGAGAAGGAAGAGCTGGCCGAGGGATTTGGGTGGGGAGGAGAGGATGCTGCGGCTCGTGTCGTGGACACTGAGACACTGCAATGAGATGAGAGGGCAGGAGATGCCATGAAACCTTCTCCAACCTTATCCAGCCCCTCCAACTCAGGGATGCTTGTCTCCCACTTATGCTACGGGTGGGTCAAGAAAGGGCAAAAATGAGTCAAGAAGGCAAATTTGATGCTTACTATCACCGTAAAGGTGGTGCCAGCTCTGCATTTACCCCTTCCACCCCAGCATCCCCATCCACAGTGAAGCCCCTGAGCAGAGATTCTGCTGCTTGCTACGGTTGGTGGATATTAATTGTGGGCAGCTCATGAACCCGTACCAGAAGGGAGGACACTGCGGGGATGGGGGCCTTTGTCTCAGTGCCTTCAATCTCTCCCGCTGCCTCCCACTGGGTGATGCTTGGAGGAGGCTCTGGCTCTTGCCGTGGAATTTTAGGGCACTGAGACCAATCAGACCTCAGCCAAAACACGAGGACAACCCCTCCTGCTGGAGACCGCTGCTGTCCTGACCTTTCTGAGCTTGGTTTTGGTGCTCGACAGCTCCCAGCTGTAGCTAGAAGATGCCTGGGGGTCCCAGGTGGCCTGAGCACAGGGGAAGAGGACCTCTCCCACGAAGGAGTCCTTGAGGCTGCGAAACCTGGCATAGACAGCGAAGCGCAGGGTGAAGCTCCTCAGCTCCTCCAGGCTGTACCGGCCGAACCGGCACGGCTCCCAGTGGGCAGGGTGGAGGCTGCCGCGCTGCAATGCTGTGCACCGGCGCACCAGGAGCTGCGGCAGCAGGTACACCTTGACGTAGGAGCCTCGGCCATTCTGCAGCCCCTTGGGCATGTGGGAGACGCCAAGGACCGTCACAGTGAGCGTGGCCTCAGCCGGCGAGTAGGACAAGTCACAGTGGAGCCGGGGACACTGCTTGGGGCCGGTGCCAGAGCGCTTCAGGGTGGGGGGTCCCGGGATGGGGTGGACCAGCGGGCTCTCCTCATCGCAGAGGAGGTTGGCTCTGGAGATGGTGCAGCAGTGTTGCCACGCTCCTGCCAGCTTTGGGGAGAAGGGGAGGCTGGGCGAGGAGGGTCTGCTGTGGAGCAAACCCCGGTGGGATGCTGGTGATCGCTCTTCCACCTGGGCACTCAGCATCTCTCCTGCCACCTCCTTGTAGTGCTGCTGGACAGGCACCGGCACCGTCCTGGTGGGCAGAGCGGGTCCCAGCTCCACTGTCTCCCTCTCCCAGCCGAGGCGGGGGCCCGGGCGCCGCCAACGCTGCCAGCACACAGCACAGCCCAGGAGGATGCTGAGGCAGAGC